CTGAGCTTTCTATCACGTGTGGCATGGTGGGACGGAGCTCTGCCGTTGATGTATTGCGAATCTAACGGTACCAAAATACAGGAGAATAACCTATTAGATTTAGTCATTTTGTAGAATTTTTCTTTGACGTGAAATCCGTTTTGTAGTATGCGTTGGCCCTTTTGGTTTGGGCGAGAAGCCATTTTCCATTGAGAAAACTACCCTACCGAGGGTAGGGTACATTTCTCAACTGCAGTGCCTTTCCTTTTTCTTGTTTTTTAAGACCTCATTGCATCCTGAAACGGAGGAACTCTGACAACTGTGTTTCGCTGTCTGGCATCAAACTCGTTTCCTTCTTTGGGCAATGAATGCATTTGGCCATCCACGTCGTCCCTGTCCATTTTACAAATGGTGACCTCCAGTCCCCTCACCACGGGGAGTATCCCTTTTTCACGGAGACGTTCACTCCGACTGTTCCAAACATGTTTCATTTCTCCGAGTTACGTTATAAAAAATAAGGAGAAAAGTTGTTTCTAGCATTTTTTTCAGTTTTTTTATTTCTTGTTTCGAATTTATTAATGTCGAAATGACGTCACACCGTTGAGTTTTCTGAACTCAACAACGGTAGGTGGGACCAGACCCCAGGTGCCAGTGGTGACTGTTTTTATCAGCGTCACTATCACTGGCGGGGTCTTTGTCCAAAAAAAGAAAAAAAAGAAAAAAAAAAAGGATTTGGCCCGCCGGTTGGAAATGCACCAAATCGGCGCGGCGAATATTTCACGGTCAAAATGATTTATTTATTTATTTTTGTAATATTTTTCCTTACCTAACCTATGGACCCTCAAATTTGCCGACATTTTGATGAATTATTCTGAGCACAAAAAATCGGCAAAGTTGCCGATTGCAAATGGCGGGATTTGAACCGCCGGTTGGAAATGCAGCAAATCGGCGCGGCGAATATTTCATGGTCAAAAAGATTTTATTATTTTTTTGTAATATTTTTCCCTGAAAGATCAGGACCTAACCTACGGACCCTCAAATTTGCAGACATTTTGATGAATTTTTCTGAGCACAAAAAATCGGCAAAGTTGCCGCTTGCAAATGGCGGGATTGGACCCGCCGGTGACGAACGGTCGCCGCCCCTCCGTACAGGCCAGCTACGGTTCAGACACACCTGTCAGCTGCCTGACGTCGGATACACTTCAAGAAGAAGCAGTCGCCAAAACCACCCAGGGACCCAATCCACCTATGTGGTTAGGGCAGTTGCGTATTTCAAATCTGTGTGTGGGTTCAAACCCCAACAACGACTATCGATAGCGAACTTCAAAATATTAATGTGTGTGTATGTGGGTGGGTAGAGGTGGGTCACCCTCCACCCTGCTTCCTTTTGTCGGCGCCGACACTGGCGCTTGCCGCCAAAACGACACGCCGACCAGGAGACAAAACCAATAACGAAAAACGAATTAAAGAAAGAAAGAAAAACGAATTCAAGAAAGAAAGAAAAAGAAAAACGAATTCAAGAATATACAAAATCAAAAATTAAAAAAAAGAAAAGAAAAAAGGGGCCGGGGCACGAAATGACACTTTCTTGCAATCCGACGGCGGGCGCGTTCAGATATTAATGCACATCGACGCCCAACGCCCCTCCCTCGATCGCATTCATTCGCCGGCCCGAATCAAAACTTCGGGCCGATTTCAGCGCGCAGCGGAACACGACCTCCCCCCGCGGGCCCACCGCGCTTAAGGGGTAGGATAATATCTATAGAATGATCTTATATATATATTATATTTATTATTTGTATTATATTTGTATATAATACAAATAATAAATATAATACATATATAAATATAATATCTATAGAATGATCTTATATATATATTATATTTATTATTTGTATTATATTTATATAGAAAAATATTTTATATAACTTTAGCTATACATCTGCAAGGAATATGAGTGGGAACGATATACAGACAACCAAGTTGCGAAATCACATATATGTCCGAGCTCGGTCTATTTTGGGCCACGTTCGGGTTCGGTCACCGAGCCCGAACGGGATGCTACGCAGGTAGAAACCACATGACTGATAATACCAAATCCAGGAAGAATTAAAATATAACATTATTTTGGCTCACTGGCGGAGGGAAGAGCCCGGTAGAGCACGCCGCCGCTCTCGCGATGGATAGGACTTTCTCTTATTCCCTCTAAGAAAGCAATTACATATATAATTACAATCAATCCTTGATGAAGATGTCTACAGATCAGGTCGAAGAGGCGGGCCCCAGCATCAGTACAAGGTTAGATTTGCCTACTAAGGATGAGCTTACAGAAACAGCACCGCGGATAGTATCCTACTATGAGTGAGCTAGGAGGGGTATTAACATCGTAGACCAGTAAAGATAAGGTCTTTCTCGGACCTCGAAATTAGGCTGGTGGGAGTGAAAAAATTTCATGCTGCGGACAAGCCCGAGTCCCAGGTCCAGAGTCCCAGATCCCAGGTCCCAGTCCTGAGTTCCAGGTCCCAGTCCCAGGTCTCAGTCCTCAGTCCCAGGTCCCAGTCCCAAGTCCCAGGTCTCAGTCCCAAGTCCCAGGTCTCAGTCCCCAAGTCCCATTTTATGTTCCATTAGTGGTTCAGCCACTTGTACAGTACTCACGAATACTCTAAAAGAGTAGTTTTCGTTTGGACCATGGTTTCAGAGGCCATGGCAGGCTAGTTAAGTAGATTGTGGTAGGAAGTCCCTACAAGATAACAGTTATGGGTTGAGGAGTCTGTCTTTAGAAGGCACCATAGATTTCAGCTCTGGTCACCAGATTTGTTAGCCCAGGTATCAGTCCACCCAAGCATCCAGATCCAAGGAGAGTCTGTAAGCTTCCAGAAGCAGCAAACGAAGGCAAGGGGACCTACCCATAACCAACAGAAGATGTCTGGAAGGCCGACAGCAACTATAAGAGTCCCGCAGCACCAACAGTCGGGGATATCTGTTCATTTGCACATGTTGCTGAAGCGCTGCTGGTTGCTTGTGCGATAGGGCGACGTGGATGGGGGGTTGACGCTGTAGGAGCAAGCGTCTGGCAGGATAGAAGGCAGCCATAGCTGCAGAGGTCTGAGGTGGAGCCATACGGGCATATTCAGGGTTTGATCCTAGCAGAGATAAGAGTGAGAGAGAGAACAGTGAGGTGCGCGATAGAAGTTTTGAGGGGGAGAGGAAGAGGGAGAGACACTGGGGAGGAAGGAAGTCGGGTTCATACCTGAATTGTATCGCAGTTCTTGTGAGTGGCAGAGCCGTGTGGGGAAACCGAACTCTTTCATTTGTATAATATATCAGTTGAGCGGTGTTTTCTTGGTGTCTTGGTTTGAGCCTCATCTTTGCAGTGTGGTGTGAACTCTCACGTGAATGTTCTGTTTGTGGGTTGCTGAGTTTCGGTGCTGAGTTGAAGGTTCATTGCAGAAGAGCACATGCAGATAATGGAGGGTTATCTCCCTGCCCTCGCACATCCATCAGGGATGGACTTCGGTAACCCTGTGATATGCTCCTTCGGGTTGGTGATCCAGCAATGAGAGGCAATCATTGCACTTAGAGGTGATTATTGAGCCCCAGCATGTAGCACCTAACTCACAAGTGAAGCCATCCGGAAAATATCTGTTCAGGGACAGACTAAGACTTTAAATCCTGCTGAATATATAATGGGGTTAGGTGGGACCCAATTTTCCTAGAAAACAAACTTCAAAAGAATCGGTAGCGTTGTACTTTTGTTTGAGGACAGCCCACAAAATTTCATGACGATGTGGAGTATTGACGATTCCTTTCTGTTTGTTGTCTGGAATTCTGCCAGATGAGGAGGAAAGGTATTGGGCTGGATCAGGTGTATGATGCTCGAGCATTGCGGGTGATTGTTGGTGATGGAGGTGGTAGATGGCATGTGCAAGCCGTGGAAGGCTGCTATCATCTTCTCAGTATTGTACATAGGTGAGGCTGATGCAGATGTAGGCTCCTGTGCGTCAATTGCATGAGGAGTGCCCAACTGCGCACATACAAATGCTTGTTATGTGTGACAGTGGGTTGAACGTTGTAAACAAGATTACATGCCCCTACCTGAATTTCAGTATGCCACTGGCAAGGGACATAGGAGGAAAATAGAGAAGAGGAAGGGCAAAGGAGATGAGTTGATCCTTGTGCATGTTCAAGATAGAACTCTTTGCATCTCTTTCATCTGCATTAGAAATCATGCACGGTATGACCATGAACAGGGAGAGAAAAGTCATCTTCTTCCACTCCCAATCACTCTCCCAAGTCAATGAAAGCCACAAAAGCCCCGAACCTTCAAGTCAATTTGCATCATCTGTCTCCCACACTCCCGTTCGCTCTGTCGAAGTCAATGAGATACATCCAGGCCAAATGGCCAAACAAAATAACAATTATATCATGCCATCGTGGAAGCAGGTGTGAAGGTGAGGTGGGAGACGAATGGGGCAGTGGTTGTTGCTCAGGGAAACACTTCCTCTCCATCTCTCTCCGTTACTATGCCTCAGCGTCTCACTGATGCAATCCTGGCCTTGCAATCCACCCGCTTCCATTACACTAGGTGCTTGGAAGGCAAAGTGCAGCTATGGTTGCTATGATGAAGCCCAGCCTGATGTGGCATGCAGCTGAGGCTGCTAACTGGTTGGATGTTAAAGTGCAGCTATATCTGCCATGATGAAGCATAGGCTTGTGTGTATGCAGCTAAGGCGGCCCGGCTCTCTGAAGCCCGCCACGGGATACTGTGATGAGCACTGTGTCGTCGTCTAGTTGACATGGGAAGCTCTGAACCAATGGCTGGTCCTGCCTACCAACAAGTCCTCTGGCGGCTGTTGCCCTTGTGTCGCCACTGACTCTAATCTTCACTGACCCTTCCCAGCGGAAAGAAATTCCTTGGCCCTCATCACGCTCCTTCTATTCAGCCAAAGGGCGCCTGACCAGCATTGATTGCTCTCTGTGATGGGAGGACTGACTGTCAGCTTGCTTTCTCATGAATTCCTCTCAGGTTCCACACTGAACCTGCCAGTTATAACTTTTCACAACAAGAATCCTGAGATAGACTTCGACGTGCTGTGCCTGTATCTGCTCTTGACAGCCTTGCCCCCTTTAATCGTCTCATACTTGATGACGACTTCAGCTCTCACCATCTCTGTCGTGTAGGACTCTGAGATATCTCTCATGTTCTGCCTTCACTGCACTGGATCCGAGTTATGCCAGTCTTTCCATCGTGGCCTGTTGTCACGAATGTCGGCCACCTTGCCTCTGGCCAACCAGATCTTCATGAAGCAAAAAGGAGTTCTTATGCTGATCTCGTAGCATAACACCCAATGGAAGAGTTAGTGAACCCTGGGCCTCGCTTGGCCTTTCCTCACCCTTTTGTATTCCTCTATTAGTTCTGGGTCCACCCCTACCTGCATCTGGTTGGGCAGATGGCAGGTTCATCTCTTGATCCATTGGCTGACTCAGAGAGTGAGTCATCCCTGTTGCTTGGCCTCTCCTTATCCCTTTGTGTTCCTCTCTCAGTTCTGGGTCCACCCCTACCAGCATGGATGCCAGAGTGTGGCTCAATCTCTTCGCTCATTTGCTGACTCAGGAAGTGAGTCTGATCCATGTCTGAAACCTTCAATCCTGTTAGGATAATGCTAGAAAAGCCTAGGTACCGGGCAGTAAGTCTGGAATAAGACAAAGGTTGGATATAGCAGCAAAGGCAAGAGTGACCACCAGGCGCAGATTAATGCAAACAGTTGAAAAAGCTTACGTAGCACTGCTAGTCTCTGTGCAACGTGCAGGATTCTGGAGCTAAAATTTGCTCTCTCTTGTGCTGCCTGCCATAATCACAGAAAGGTAAACAGGCACACTCCAAACAGAAACTAGTGAGATTACAAAGTTAGACCAATTACCTTCACAACCTTACATTGTTTTGTTTTCTTTGTTGTTCTGACAGATCCCTGAGGGAACGCAGATAGAAAGCCAAAAAAGATGCTTCTGACAAGTTGATCCCCGACATCGAATCCACTTAGATAAAGTCTGAACTGGCTGTCTGCTGGATGTAAGTAATGGGAAATTATAAGGGCAGTGTCTAATCTGTTGTTCAGGTAATCTTGTGGTGCCTGTCCATGAACTCACTACAGCTTATTTATGTCTCTTGCTTGTGTGTGTGTGTGTGTGTGTGTGTGTGTGTGTGTGTGTGTGTGTATTGTGACTGTGTGAGATTGCCATGTGTAATTGTATGAGGGGTGTTGGAATCACCTACTGCAGTCTGTGGCCTCCAATTTGTGGCGAGTTTGATGACTACATCGTTAATCCAAAGCCTAGTGGATATCAGGTATACATGACACCTATTGGAATTCTCTCAGATATTCTTGATTGCTAATTTGCTACATTACAGAGTCAAAAGTGGGTTCTTGAGGCTCGCCATCTACACTGCCACAGTCTGCCAGAGTAATCTGAAGTGTTTTGCTAGGAAAATGAGAGATAGCGATATGACAAATCCAGAATGCAAAATCACATTGAAAGCCAGCAAGTCCAACACTGTCCAGAAATCAGAAGTGCACTGATATTCCACAACCGGAGAACCAAAGCACTGAATCCGAATGTCAATGAGAGCATACTCTCGCCAACACCAACATATGTATCCAGAGTCCTTCCTCCTACTTGGCGATAAGCGTCCAGACTACTATCACACAGCCTACTAGCAGCCTGGGCCAAAATGTATGAGTCCCGGGTCCAGAAAGTTCCCAAACCGCGTGGGCCACAGGCCCAAACCGTGTGTGGCCCAGGCCCAAACCGTGTGGGGCCCAGGCCCAAACCGTGTGGGGCCCAGGCCCAAACCGTGTGGGGCCCAGGCCTGGAAGCTTCCAGGCTGCGAAAGCCTGGCAGTCCCAACGCGTAGGCCTTCTGGGCCAAAACGCGTGGGCTGCTGGGCCCCAAAACACGTTTTCTGGAGTCTTCTCCAGAACGCATGGGCCTCCCTGTTCCCCACGTGCAGCCCCTTCCTTTGGTACTTGCTGACTGGACTGGCCTACAGGGACCTACGGACTTCTAGAACCTACAGACCAACAAACAGACTGTAGGCCGACAGTAGACTTAGGTAGAGACTTCTAGAACAGACCCTTTCTAGGTCTACTGGAACAGTCCTAACTACTAACCTACAGACCTAGGGATCAAGTCCTATACAGATCACTGGGTCTATGTACAGGGTACATGGTAGGTCTAGGGATCGAATCTCACTCAGCACACAGGGTCAATGTACAAGGTTCGGGCACAGGTATAGAGATCGAATCTCTCTGTCCACAAATGTTGTGTCAACTAGGTGAAACCGTTTCAGGGTCGTTCCCCAAGCACAAGAGCGGTGTGGATGGGATTCTCACGGTGGTCGACCGACTCACCAAGTTCGCCATGTTCTTGCGTTGCCGCTATCATGCCAAGGCACTGGAATTGGTCGAGGTTCTCTACGCCGGTTGGATTCGAACGAAGGGTTACCCCAAGGAAATCGTTTGCGACCACGACACTCGGTTCATGTCCGATTTTTGGTTGGCGCTCATCAAACGATGGGGCTCATCTCTCAAGCCGAGTTCGGCTTGCCACCCCCAAACCGATGGCCAAACGGAGAGAGCGCATTAGACCGCACAGGTTCTCCTTCGCACTCTCATCCGCCCCGACCAAAAGGATTGGGTTGAGGGGCTGTCGGATGTCAAGTTGGCATACAACTCGTCCATTCATTCGGCTATCGGGATGTCGCTCTTTGAGTTCGAACACGGCTCGTCGGTCACTTCGCTGTTGGACACCATCATTCCATGGACGACCGAGAGCGACAACCATCTTCTTTTTTTGCGTCGGATGCAAGAGCTACTTGTCAAGGCACACGACCAGATGGCAAAAACGCAGCAACGCATGAGACAACAGGCCAATCGCCAGCGTCTTCCTTGTCCATTCCGCGTCGGCGATCTCGTATGGGTCTCCGCCACAAAATTCAGCCTCGAACAAGATATCTCGCAAGCTCCTCTTGAAATGGATGAGGCCCTGGCCAATCGTGGCACCCGCTGGGAATGCACCCGAAGGACCTTCATTTGTCATTCAGGTGCCCGCCCGCTTGCCCGTCTACCTGGTCTTTCATTGCTCCTAGTTGGCTCTTTTCACGCCAGCGGAACATGTTGACTTCCCCGGGCGACGATTGCAAGACCCACCCTCTATGGATGGTTTCCAAGAGGTCGGCGACATCATCGTCCAACGACGCTATGGCAACAGGCCGACTGAGTACTTAGTACATTTTGCATACGGCACCCATAAAACTGACCATTGGTTGACCCGTGCGAAACTTCAAGCAACAACTTCGGATGTTCTCGCACGCTACAAACGCAAGTTGCAAGGCAAGCCAGCATCTTGAGCTCCACATCGCGCTCACGTCCAGGTTCCACCTTCAGATCGTCAGCTTCGCCCTCGAACCGGCTCGACTTCATAAGGAGGGAGGGGTCTTACATGCTGCCCTTGCACACGGGCCCCACTTGAGGGCCCCGACGGTTGCTAAGGGCCCCCCAGGCCACGGGCCATCCAGCACGCACCCTGGAGGCCCACGGCGGCCGTTTGGCCACAGGTACCGGCAGTTGTCCGTTCAGACGTCGTTTCGAACTGCAGGTCCAGACGTCGTTTCGGACTGTAGGTCCAACGCGACGACTTGGGCCAGGTACATAGGGACAAGGCCACTTTCAGGCCAGGCGCGTTTTGGCCCCTCGCTGCATCAGCAGCGAGGTCTGGATACCCGGTAGGGGCCCAGACCAAGCAGGCCGTTTGAGGCTAAAACTTGAGGCACGCCTAACAGGCCCAGCGCTACTTATAGCTGGGCTGAGGCTGGGTACAAAACAGTTCGAGTAGCTCACTTCTAGAGCGACACGCTGCTGGCTGAGCGTTGTGCTGTTTAGCGCCACACTGCTAAGTTGGAGGCTGAACACCGAGAGGCAAAGGGGCGGAGGCCATACCTGCATTAGGGACTTACCTGGCGCCATAGCTGGGACTTCCTGGGCGCCCGCGACCTGCATACGACGACCATGGGACGACAGTCAGCTCGGCGGTAGCACTGGCAGGTGAGACAACGAGGAAGGCGACTTCTTCATCTTCTTCATCAGTCTCCCCTCGTCTCCCTTTGTCCTTCTTCTTCTTCTTCTTCTTCTTCATCGGACACGAGAGAGAGAGAGAGAGAGAGAGAGAGAGAGAGAGAGAGAGAGAGAGAGAGAGAGAGAGAGGTTACATGCAGAGGATACAAGCAGCGGTTACTGTGGGCAGAGTGCCCACGATCTGATTCGACATTGTTGAGGCAGACATTGGTTGAGCATCGGCACGAGACTATTTTTGGACTTCGCTATTGCGATCTCGGTCTTCTCCCTCGCCCCCATCTTCGTCTCGCCTCTCCCTCATCTCTCCTTTGTGGTACCTCCCCATGCGTGTGTGTACAAAGGAGGGACCTTTCTTCCATGTGTGCGGTCCCTCCTCTTCCTCTCACATGTGTGGTGTATGATGGGATGTTGCGTCAGTTGCGGTCAGGTCAGGACTTATCTTTGAGTCTTCCGTCGCGGTACTATGTGCCACTTTGTATGTGTCATGATGTACGTTGCCTGTTGATGTTCCACTTACATTGCATTGTCCATTCAGTCCTTTTCATCACATTGCGGATCCTTGGCTCTACATACATTGCCCAACTGGGAATGTATATGTCTTGCGAACTGTGAAACCTCCAGATAGAGCAAAACATATTTATTTTATGTCCACTTGTTTTTGTACCTAATTAGTAAGCGGTAAGTCCTACTTTGGAGTGGGGGCGTGACAGGTGTTTAAACCCTACTCTTTGTCGTGTCACTGAGGACCTCTGAAGCGGGCATGGTGGGTGACAGTCGCCACAACCCTTGGCTTCAGCAACAGAGAAGTGGCAGCAGTGGATGAGGCGGAAGCGGCTTCAACACCTTTGCGAGGGGTGTTGGTTATGCGCTTCATGCTAAGGGGGGTTGAAGGCTTTTATTTACAAAATGAAGAGAATTTTGAAAATTTTATTGAAAAATGAAGAGGAAAAGAGAAGGAATTAATTTTGAATGTTAATTTCGTATTTAGTTTTAGATTAATTGAATTTATCGAAGAATAGTTTATGAAAAAATATATTTTTTTGCAGGAAGTTTGCAAAAGGAAAATGTTGAAAATTTGAAAAAGGGTAGTTATTTTCGAATAAAGAAATTAATTCCAACTTGGATTAATAGAATTTATTTGAAAATGATGAGCAGATGCAAAAATATATTTTGTAAGAAAAACTTCAAAAAACGAAAAGGTTGAAATTCCAAATTAATAAGTGATGGATTCTAAAGGGGAGAAATTTAACGAAAAGATTGAAAATTCAAGAACAATAGGCAAAGTCAATCTCCGTAGCAAGCACCCTTCTACCTACCTGCACTCAAAGCAAACAAACAAATTCAAAGGAAACCAATGCAATCCCATACCCAAGTCAGACCTCACCAGTCACATGCAAACACACATTTCCTTTGCCTTTTCAATGAACAGGGTCAAGTAAGTGTGGGTTCACATAGGTGTGAAGGGAAGTCTGAGTCGATCAACTAATTGACTGACCTTGAGTGAAGTTGGTCCGACCTACTGAAGAAAGCCGAGTAATATTACAATCAAATTTGAAAAGACGATCGTTGCTAAAGTCCAAAGTATGCGGCTCAGAACTCCCTCAAGTTGTAGCCATTCCACTGAACGATGGTCCACGTCTTTTCCAAGTGCTCAAATGAGCAGAGATTGGGCCACAAAAAAAACTCAAGCGAGGTAGCCCTCCAGGAGGATGTCCTCACAAATGAGTTTCCATGTAATCCCAATGTCCCAAACTGATCTCTACTTAGGCTGGTTCCTAACGTCTCGGGTTGTCCCAACACAGTCCCAACTGTACTTTACCCAGCAAGGATACTCCCCAACCAATTGCAAGTCCACGCCGCCTCCAATCACCTCGTCCGCTCGCAATAGCCACCCCAATATGTCGGTTCCGATCTCAAATTCAGTCCCACCTGGTCCCAAGTGGTTTTGGGTGGTCCCATACCACTGCTGCAGCACCGGATGAACTCAAACTCAAAAACTGCTTGCTCTGCATGCTGCAAAAAAAAATAAAGGTGGCTCCCGGTGAAAACCGCAGGTGCCGCAAGCTCCAACAATCATCGTGTGCACTCACGCCATGTCGCGCCGCCACTCCACACACCAACACCGCACGGTCCCAAATGTGCACCAGTGCCACAAAACACACAACGGTGGAGAACCACTCGTCACGCCATTAATCGGTACCATGGCTGCCCCACA